TTTTCAATGAAAGGTGAAACTACACATAATAAAGACTGAAAGTAGAAAAGAGAGACGATATTGTTAAAGTTTAATAAATAGAAAGAAGGACTTTGAGGCAGTCTAAAAGAATCAATGGTTAGCTGTAAAGATGTGATTATAAAGTTAGGGCAAAGTGGGCCGTAGCTACTCTGTCCTGTCTCAGCAGCTTGAGGCAACTGTTGCTGAAACTGTTGGAAAGAGCCGGTAAAACGCGACTGTGTGCGCTAACAGTTAAATCCATACCACAGCTCTCTCATTAAAACACGGAGCAGTCTGATGGATTATAATCAGAGTGTTTCATTAAGTTAATGCTTAGTTTTTGTTCTTCCAGCCTTTGCGGTGTTTAATGTGTCTGATTGTTAAAATTAGATAATCAGCATTGTGATCGTCAGCACAGCAGTTTTTAATGCCGACTTCAGCAGAAACTCGCTGCTGTTAGCCATGCAGAGGAACAGCACCCACCTTCCTTCTTGATTTTATCGTTGATGTTGTTGATGTAGATGGTGTGGTTCGGTCTGATATCCATGGTGGAGTCTGAGGAGACAACAGGAGAGCAGCTTCAGCTTCTTCAGTGTTCAACTCCACCTTTAAACCTCGTTTACCCGTTTAATACTTGCTAATGTCTCGGTAAACTCACACAACCAGAGCACCAACAAATCGTTTACGTTACACTTTAAAACTCGCTGTTTGAGGAGATCTGGCTAAATCAAAAGCTTCAGCTTGAATTCATTCAAAGCTTCCCAGAAACCTCTCTCACTCGGCTAAATTTAGCATGTGTTAGCTTAGCTCAGCTAGCCTTTAAACTAAATGTTTTTTTCTGGCGTCGCTTCAACGTCAAAAAAATCGCCTTTACAGATTTAACCTCCGCCCGGCAGCTCCTCCGTTAAACCGCGGTCAGAGGAGCCTCGGATAAACGTTTTTAACATAGATATGGAGCTCACCTCCTCTCGGCTCACACCGCTCATGTAGTTTCCGGAAACACTCGGCTGTGGCGCCGGCTGAAGCTTTCACGACCTCTGCCCTCTGCCGCCATCAGCAGGCCAGGAGGAGAACTGCAGCTACCTGTGATCTTATTACAACTCATTAAATCTAAACTAAAATCGGAATCAGAATACTTTATTAAACCTCAAGTAAATTATGTGGGTCACAGTTGCTCCAAGACAGTAACAGTAACAGTAAAAGTATTTAAATAATACAACATGTTACAGAGTTTACAAATTTAAGAAATAGCACTAATATGTACAAATCGCTCAGTTATAAATATTAAGAATATTACAAAGGTAAGAATATTACATGGGTGTAATATATATGTTTGACATTTCATTCTAACCTGTGAACTTTATCAGTTGCTATTTTACTGTAGAGTGTGTGCAAAAAGGATGTAACTAGTGTGTACAGTGTGTTAGATGGAGGAGTTGTACAGGAAGCCACAGGCAGGAATAATTTCCTGTGTTGTTCAGTGGTGTTTCTGGTAATCTCAGTCTCTCACTGAATGTGCTCCTGTGACTGGCCAACATGTCATGGAGTGGGTAGGAGGTGTTATCCAGCATTGTCTTTATCTTAACAATCTCTGCCTCTCAGACAGCACCCTAAGGGAGTCCAGCTCCATCCCCACAACATTAATGGCCTTGTTGATCAGTTTATTGAGTCTGTTGGCATCAGTGACCCTCAACCTGCTGCCCCAGCATGCAATGGCAAAAGCTCAGACATGCAAGTGCTCACTGAAATAAAATGTTAGCCCTTAGATGTTTCTCCACAGGCCAAACTATTCCATCTTCCAATGCAGCACTTATTTTCAGTCAGATAAAAAACAATGCTAAAAAAGTTTTCTTAATTTTGCATTTTTCAAACTTTTTTTTAACTTGTTTTCATGATTTTCGCCAGTCTTCACCTGTTTAGGTAAATATATGTGTGCAGATTAATTTCAGTCAATTAAAAACCTGTCAGGTATTTTTATTATTATTATTAATCAGATTTTGCTTTCTGAATATTTATTTTTTCATATAAAACCTCAAATGTGTGTTTTTGTTTACCCCCAGTTATTAAAAGATGTACATTAAAATCTCTCGCGTCCTGTATTTCTTCATACAGATCATTTCGCGTACTTCCGGAGGTGTGTCCCCTCCTGGCTTCCATACATCCCGATGTTTTTACCACCTGATGCCGGCTAGCAGGCTAACAGCTAGCAGCGACCGCAGGTCTGAGGCAGCGGGACAGCGACTCGGTGTCAGCGGACCCTGATAGCATCCACTCGCTCCCAAGACCCCCTCCCCCCCACCCGGTCTCCATCTGTGCCCTTTGGACCATTCTCCGCTTTTATCTGTCAGACTTTTGCCCCGTCTATCCGCTCGCCTGTTAGCTGATATCGGCTATAAAGCGGCTCCTCTCCGCGGAGCGGCGGACAGCAGCGGTATGAGCCATGGCGTCGGTCCGGGTGGCTGTGCGGGTCCGGCCCATGAACAGGCGGTGAGTGACTTTAAGCTTATCACGGCTCATGTTCACGATTTAAAGGCAGGCTGACGTCATCGCCTCACCCGTGTGTACCTGAGAGCCTCCGCGGGCTCACCTGGAGGAGTCTGCAGGGATGAGGCCCCAGGTTTACCCTACAGCACATCCGTCTCTGAAGTCAGGGTTAAAATGTGGGCTGGTTTCATTTGATTGTGTTTTATTCCGGGGACAGTCTGAGTATCAGCAGGTTTTTGATGTTTGAGTCTCAGTTTGGTTTATTATGATCACTGAAGCCTCCTCAGGATGTCCTACAGATCTCAGCAAAGTGCAGTTTTGATTATTGTTGTTCCAGCTGGTTTTATTCTCATTTGGTGGACATGATAACCTTGATCCTGACTCAGAGTTATTCTGATGGTAATGATTATGGGCAGACCCTCCTCTGCAGGTTTGTGCTGACAGATTTGATCAAACAGAGGTTTCCTCTGTGTTTTTATATTTTAGGTCAGCGTTGCTTTACTTCATTCCTAAAGTAGAGATATTTTTATTTAGTTCCCACAGCAGCTTGGTTCATGTCTGTTGGCTGTTTTCAGTCGTAGCTGTGACCCGTCTGCTGACATTTTATTTTTGCCTCAGTCAGACTTAAGAACCCGGATATCGACTCTCTGGCAGCCTGTCACTGTTCCAGCTTCATATTTTAAGTCTGCGGCTTTGCATGATTTTTGTGTGGGGCTGAAGGGTGCAGCAGGGCGGGGTGAGAAAAATCCACACCTGTCAGACTGCTCATTGAAAGATTACAAAGACACACAGGTCCTCTCTAACGTACGGAGGCCCAGAGGCGCCAAACTGACTGACCTTTGTTGGAATATTCTCACGCATCCTTTCAGACTCTGCAGAGTCGTTTAGAAACAGGAAGTGATGTCATCAGTCTCCAGAGAATTTGTCATTCAAAACAAAAACCTTCACTGGGAACTGAAGTGTTGTGTGTCATACACCTCCAGGCATAAATATTGTGTTAGTGAAACTGAGAGGTCTGTGCGCTGTGTGTGTGTGTGGATATAAAATCATTGTCGAGCTTTAAACTCGTGATTTGTGGTTTTTCTGACGGGCGTCTGAGAAACCTCCCATGACACACAGCCACACAAACACACTGACACACAAATGTGTGAACCTGGACTGTGTGCTGGTGTCTCTGACGTCATGACCAGGTACACACTATTAACGTGTTTACCTGAATCGTAACTTCGTGAGACTGTGAACGTGTTATTTGGTGCTCGGAGGATAAAGATGCGTTTTAGATCCAAAGGTTAGAAACAACAGGAGAAGCGCGTGCTGTGAAACGCAGCACAGACGCACAGCTTCATGTTTCCAGCTCGTTCATGTGTTAGAGGGTGTTCATACCTGTGCCTGGTGTATCCGCAGAAACCCGCTCAGGAAGGACCTGACGCCGCACATCTGTCCCCGAGCCGCACATCTGTCCCCGAGCCGCTCGTCTTCTGGAACTACAGCAACAGATTAATAATAAGGCTTTATTGTTAATGTACAGAAAGATTCTGGGACCAGTCCACGTGTGAACGTGTGGAAGTCTGGTTCTGTAGTGCAGGTTTCCAGGTGTTTGTGAAAGGACCACCTTGACGTTAATGTCGGGCTCCTCGGGGGCCCGCAGCAGGTTACGGCCCTGCTGCTCGCCCTGTTTATTTCACTGCTTCAGCTCCAGGCTGCAAGCTTTAAGTTTAAGCCAATAATCAGATTTCTGATCTACGTGCAGTTTAACAAGTATTTGTTCATGTTGGCAGCGCCGAGTGTTCCTGCTGCTGGATCTGTGTGAGCCTGAGATTATTGTTTCAATCTGCTAAGAATGAAGCAACATCTGAACTTCTCACTAATGTGAGCATTTCAAAATAAAATCTGAGTAAGATGAAAATGACATCAGTGAGAGCGCGAGGTGGGCGGAGCGTTCACACAGAGGAAGCATGAGAACCACGGCGCAGGTTAACAACACGTTTCAGTCTCATGATCCGCTGACCTTTGACCCTTTTTTCTTTTTAGCTCCGGTCTGGTGTGTTTGTGTTAACTCGATCTCCGGTCATGTGA